ACAAACCTCGTAATTCCATGATATTTCACTGAATCAAGAAGTGAGTGGTGACAAAGGTCTGATACAAAGCCCTCGATGAAAAGCCCAGGCATCTTTATCCTGCCTTCCCAGCCTCCCATCGGGGAAAAATAATGAATACTTTACAAAGCTATTTCATAAAATGTTATGTTAAATGAACAACAAATCACTTTTCCTTTTACTAGCTTTAAATTCTAATAGTGCCATTTATTCCTGACCTTCGGGAATGTGAGACATTTTCAGTGACAACATAAAAGGAGTTCTTGTTTGAAAACACACGCTACTTTGGGCCGCATTTTATCGCTTGTAAGTATAGCGTGCACTGGCATCACTCACCCCAGCCTCCCACTTACTCCTAACTGGTGTATATTTCGGTTGACATTTATTGCTCTCCTGTGTACATGTCAAATTCCTTAATAATGACCCTGACGGCGATGTAGAGCTCGGTATATATGAATTACTTCTGCTACCATATAATCAGTGTTATCTATTAGAATGCTATTTGTGACACATCACACTCAAAATAAAAATCGAATTGATTTTTCTGTTATTTGAACATGGTGCCGCTCACAGCAAGCCTTTGATTGAATCTTAAACACTTTAATGCTCTATTTTTGTTTGAGGCAGATCAGAAATGGAGTTTGCATTATTCACAAAGCGAAAGCGATTTGCAAAACAACAAAATCAAATTTCCAAAAGCATCTTTATTTTCGAGCCAAGGGAATGAATTTCGTAAAGCTATCGTTACAGGGTACACAAGGCAGGACGAGAGCCTCCCACGCGCATTTCATTTCTGTGCATCCATTTTCATCTAAATTAGATTTTAACTAATGCAGGGTATGAAAAGCCTCTGCCAGGCCTTTGTTTCTACCTTTGTCTCTCGAGCAATTGCAGGCTTTTGTCAGCTAATCTGAGCTCCACCATACTCATCCCTCTCTCTCGGCAGTGGGTTTGGGCTACATGCTCCATGTTCAGAGCCCATGGGGGTTCTGTCCCCCACATCCCCCAAAGGGGTCTCTCTCAAGAAGGCACCTGCCTGACCCATACTGCTTACAAAATAAATCACTTGCGACCAGGCCACAGCTAGCATCGTCCCCTTGGGTTAATTCATGATTTGGAGCAGGGGTTGGTGAATTAGGACCCATGGGCCACCTGTTTTGACACAGCCCTCCAGCTAAGAATGGTTTTCATGTTTTTAAATGGTTTCTAAAAAACTCAAAACAATATTTCATGATACATGAAAATGATATGAAATTAAAATGTCAGTATCTATAAATAAAGTTTTATTGGAACACAACCACACTCACTAATTTCCATATTGTCTATAGCTCCTTTCCTGCTAAAACAGAATTGAGTAGTTCCCACAGAGACCATTCGGCCCACAAAGTTTAAAATGTTTACTATCTGGCCCTTTGCAGAAAAACTTTGCAATCCCTGATTTAGAAGGTAGGGCCGTGGTAATTGATGTCCTAATAAAAGGGTTGGCACCTTCAGGGCAGGAGGCTTCGTAGCACTCAAATAAAATGCTGCATTTGTGAAAATAAATCTAAAAAAAAAAAGGTTTTTTAGACACACTGCCAGAAGGCCCTCAAAATGTTTATAAGGAGATAAAATGAGGGAAACGGACAATCAAAGCAATCCTAACCTTCGAAAAGCTGCAGGCATGATAAATAATGTACACAAATCATAAGTCAGAAATGCCCTGAGACAAACGGTTTAAAAATAATTTAAGCACTCACCAAAAGTGGGTTTTAAGTGATTTTTAGATAAATTGGAGCTGGGGTCTGGAACTGGGGAGGGAGGGGGTGACATAGTCAGATGGAGAGGCCTGGGGAGAGTTGCCCTTGGTATGATCTTCACGAGAACACATACCAGAAAGAAGGCCCATAGGACCTTGGGGCTGAATGCCCAGCTCCTCTAGGCCATGGAGAGCCTCGTACCCTTTTCTGATGGTACCCCAGGCTGGTCAGGAAAGGTGGGGTGCACACTTCCTCTCAGCCTTTGGAGAACCCAGACAAACCCTGTTTGAATCTGAATATGGGTACTGGGTTTTTTGGGAACATGTCAGCCTTTGGGGTAGGGGAGACCTGTATTTTTTTTGGGAAGGGGCCTGACTTTGGAAGATGGATGGGGATTGTCAAGGAGACGGCAGACAGGGGCTCTGCCTGCCTGGGCCATCTCGCCTGGACAGCTCACACCGTGGAGTGCTCCCTCTAGGCCGGCCACAAGGGGAAGCTTGGGACATTTAGAGAGGGCAGAGTAAATTGCTTAAGGAACCCAGAGGTCTTCTGGGAAAGAAGCAGCCAAGACCGCAACTCCTAAAATTCTGGGGTTGAGACGGGGTCTGATGAGCAAGGCCTGGGGGCAAGGCAGAGAGGCAGGGCGTCCGGTCTTGAGCCTTAATTGAGCTCTTAAGCTCTGCCTTGTTGTTCCTTTCTGGTCTGTTAGCTGTGCTCAAAAGGATGGCAGGCCTGCGAGCTTCATGTTGGAAAATGCTAGGCCAGGGCCTCTGTGTGCCTCCGTCCATTTAATCTCCCAACCAACCTCGTGAGGAGGTGTCATCACTTCATAACAGAAAACTAAGGCTGCGGGTGCTTCGGATTCACATCGCCTAAGCAGGCCCTGGCCAGTTTGGCTCAGTGGTCAGAGAATCGGCCTGCGGACTGAAGGGCCCCAGGTTCGATCTCGCCCCAGGGCACATCCCTCGGTTGCAGGCTTGATCCCTGGCCCGTCGGGGCACATGCGGGAGGCAACCAATCGATGTCTCTCTCTCAAATCGATGTTTCTCTCTCTCCCTCTCCCCCTTCCACTCTTTCTGAAAAAAGCAATGGGAACCCCGAGGCCCAGCTCTCAGCATCCTCACTCCATTATACTGGCTGTCACTTTCATGAAATGTTGGGGTTGCTCGTTTGTCATCTTTCTCTCTTCCCAGATGGGGAGTGAGGACTGGAAACCGTGCATCCCCTCCCCCATCCAGCCTCCAGGGGAACTGTCAATTTTCACACAAAAGGAAAGAGGTGACCCCAAAATGTCCTTTTGGGGCATTTTAATTGCCATGGAAGTCAGACTATCCTGACAGAAGGCCTGATACCAAAGGAAAACATACAAGTCCACACCCTCCAATCCTTCAGCCCTTCCAGACCCAGGGGATTTTGTCTGATCGGGGAATGGAATTGTTTTCAGCTGCAAGAACGAGCTCATTAAGGATGCAGCTTGTGCTAATAATGCTCATTTGCTGTGCGGTAAAATCACCTCTCTACCTGCCCCGACAGACCACGCTCTAGAAATTATAGGCTAGGGAGAAACAAAAAGATTAGATTAAGAATTGCAATGCAGAACAGCTTCAACAAAAGGGGTTACAGATTTGCACATTGAACCCGGCAATCTTAATCTTGAAGTTGTAGAAGAATTAGATACTATTAAATAATTTTTTTAATCGCCTTTATTCAATTGTGTTACCTCTGTCATTGGGTGGTTTTCTTATTTGTGTTTTACAGGAGCATTTTATTTTATTGAAATGCTTTTATTGATATTTTAGAGAGAGAGGGAGAGAGAGAAACATTGATTAGCTGCCTCATGCACGTTCCCTACTGGGGATCAAGCCCCCAACCAGAGCATGTGGCCTGACTGGGAATCGAACTGGCAACCTCTTGATACATGGAATGGTGCCCAACCAACTGAGTCACACTGGCCAGGCCAGGAACCACATTTTAAAGGTTGGTACCAAATGAATGAATCTGTAACTTAATTTTATTTTTAAATATGTCTTTATTGATTTCAGAGAGAGGAAAGGAGAGGAAGAGACAGAAACATCAATGATGAGAGAGTCAGTGATCAGCTGCCTAGCCCACAACCCGGGCATGTGCCCTGACCGGGAACAGAACCCCGATCGCCTGGATCCTAGGTGGACGCTCAACTGCTGAGCCACACCCGGCCGGGCTGTAACTTAAATTTTTATGTGTGATCCTGTGGATGAGGTCAACATGAGGGCAGTTTTGAGGAGCCATTTTAGTCCTGGGTCCCCTTCATTTCACGAGCAAAGATCTCAGTAACCTTGAGCCCAGAGCAGTCATATGCAGACTCTGTGGTCTGGGAGGGGGACCAGCCAGCAACAATCCCATGTAGTTCATGTCTGAGAGGCCAAGAGAGATGCAGCAGGCTTACCACTCCACCCAGGCAGGTGAGGGATCTGTCTCCTGGTTTCCCTTCTGGGACTTCTCGGGCCACTCTCCCAGGGCTTCAGGAAAACTAGACCCTAATCCAATGTGACCAGTGTCCTTATAAGAAGACAGCCATGTGAGGACATGAAGCCACAGAGGGATGTCACGTGATGATAAAGACAGATTGGAGTTACGCACCAAGGGACACCAAGGATCACCAGCAAACCGTCAGGTGCTGGGAAGAGGCAAGGAAGGATTCCCCACTAGGGTTTCAGAGGGAGCATGGCTCTGCTAACTCCTTGAGTTTGGAGGCTCCCAGAAATTCCTGTTGTCCTATGCCACCCAGTTTGTGCTGCTCTGTTACAGCAACCCCAGTCTGCCAGCAGGGCTCTCCTGGGGACTGGGAACCTGAAAATCCAGGGTTGGGTGGGTGTGGCATCATGGGACAGTGTTGGGATGACCAGGTCAGGACCCAGGATGGCTGATGGGGACCAGGTTAGAGGGCTGGGCTAGGCTTCAATCACAGCCTGGTCCAGGTGCACAATGTCACCTCAAGGTTAGGAAGAGATGGGTCCCTTCTCCAGGTCAACAGAATCTGGGAAAACCCAACAGAAGCGCCCAGGTGTGCTGAAAAATATCCTTTCCATTCCCACAAGACAATAAAAGGTCTTTATCACTCATAATACGCTATTGCCAACCAGTGAGGGTACAGCCGCAGTGAAAAGGATTCTTATGCTAAGAAATTTCCCTAGTCCTGTTGGGGTGTGGGCGAGGGGCTGAGTCTCTTGTGAGAATGGTGAGCTTTCGAGCACCCCCTAGAGTTCAGCTCCTCTGGGGAGGCTCTGCGTGGCCAGCCTCTGCATACTTGGCTGAGGACAGTGGCTCCAGATACATCTTCCTGTTGCAGGGCACATTTTGTCTCTGAGCCCAGCCATACGTCACCGGAGGCCTGGAGTCCTCTCTCAGGGGTCTTCTGAGGGCAGGGCAGCTACCATCTGGAAGACAAACCACCCCCATGAGCTGCAGGCAGGCGGTGGGAGAAGCAGAAAAGTCAGTGCAAGCATTGCATACTTGTTTAAAAAATAGCAAGGGAGGCGAGTCCTGCCTCACCTGGGATAGAAAAGTCCGGGTATTTCGGCAGCAGCCCCTCGTGCTGCAAAACTTTTGGAGAAGGAATAGGAGGAGGCTGCGTGGACCCAACTCCATATATTCTAAAAAAAAGAACGAAAGTCATAGAGTCATTCCTTTTATCAACACTAAAAATAATAATAAATATAATCTATGCAGGTCCTGCATGAGCACACTGTATTTATTTCTAATCCTTACCATTTATCCTAAAGATGAGGGTTATCATGTCCATTTTACAGAAGGGAAAACTGAGGCCACTCGAGCCACGCTGTGCGGTGCCCTGCCATTGCCCTCCCTCAGCTCCCTTGGCCCTTAGTTGCTGCCAGGATCGCAGTCCTGTTGGTTTTGACTCCCAGCCTCTCCCTGTGAACCAGCAAAGACCACAGGCAGGACTTGAGGAGAATGCGGGGCACAGTAGGCAAGGGAGGGTGGCTGACCACTAGGAAGGCCCTGTAGTCACGAACGAGGCCCCACGTAAAACAAATCAGACACAAAACAGGCCTAGTGCTGGGATGGGGGCAGCTGGGAACCCGGGCCCAGAGTTGCCCTTCCCGTCCCCTGCGGCTTTGCCCCGAGTAGTCAGACTTACTCGTCGTATGGTTTCAGGTGCGCTCTCTTGGCCTGCTCCACTATGTCCAGGAAGTCCCTGTAGCAGTTTCTGGCCATGACAGTGTACCGGGTGGCGCAGCCCAATTCAGTGACCCTGGCTCTCGGCAGGTAACCCGCCCAGCCAGGGATCGGGGGCTCCTGGAGAGGTTTCTTTATGTTTTTGCATTCTGTGAAGAGGTACCATGCATCCTGACGGCTTGCAGAAGCCACCCCACGGGCAGGGCTCCCAAGTTAGCTGGCACCCCAACAGTTAGCCCCCAAGAACCCCTAGGCCTGCAGATGTCCTAATGGCACCTACCATGGGCTGGTTGGTTCTCTGTGCCAGGCACATATAGCCTCTCATTTCAGTCTTTTATAAACAGTAGGAAGTTGGGGCTATAATTACCTCCACTTTATAGAGGAGGAGACTGAGACTTTAAAGAGATGGAGACTTGGCCAAGGTCACACAGCAAGGGAGTGGCAGGCCAAGATTCAAACCCTCGTCTGTCTGATTCCCAAGTCCTTGCTTTTAGATCCTCCCGCTTTCTCAGGATAAAAGCTCCAGCCATTGCTCTCTGACAGTTTACAGAAGGGATTCAAGAGGAGCATCCAGATCGGGAGAAAGCCCAGCAGACTCAGCACCAGAAACCTGCCTGCAGGTCATGAGTGACACTGGCTAGCTGGCTGGCTGATTGGGCAATTTCACACTTGTGAGATGAAAGACTCCTGCCCCATCTGCCTCCTCCAGTTGCTGTACAAATCAGATTAGGCCACTGAGTCCCATAACCTCAGAGCTGGAACGCACCCTAGGGAGCATATAGTCAATCCTGGGCCCTGGATGAAGAAATTGGAGCCCAGAGAGGGGAAGCAACCTGCCGTAGGTCACACAGCAAGTAGTTGCTGAGCTGGGCTAAATCCCAAACTCGGGCAAATGCTCTTTGCAATGTCTCGGAAAATTTTAAAGCACAAAACACATGTTCTTGAAAGTCCCCAAACAATTATAATAATAATAATAATAATAATAATAATAATAAATCAGTCCATTATTTCCCTATAAGCCTTTATACCTGAAAAATGCTTCGGGGCAAATCATTGTTGTGATTATTAACACTGTATGATTATATTATCAATTATTTCTATGGTTGTCATTCAGTGCAAAACCCCATCCCACCGGCCAGTACCTGGAGCTGGGTTCAAACCCAGGTCTGACCTCAGACAAGGGACACTCCCTCTCAAAGCCTCAGTTCCCCAATCTCTACAATGGGAATGGCCGTATCGCCCTCGAAGGGCTGTTGTAGGTGGGTAAAGAAACAATGGTACGTGGCACAGGAACGGCAGCTGCCTGAATGTTGTGACTGACTCTGGGGCTCTTCGTTCCCAGCTCCCCCTCCCTTTGGAAATGTGTTTTTCTCATTTTAACAAACTGGGCCTCTCCACTTGCTCTGCACCTGGGGCTTTGGACAGCGCTGAATTCTGAGCTCTCTGGCAGCTCTGCGGGCCTGCCAGGCCCTGCACTTGGGCCCGGGGGTGAAGGGGGCTGCTTTCGGGGAGCCGGTACCCAGACTCAAGGGGTGGTGCTGCCGATCGTACTGGTGCAGCGCCCGCAGGACCGTCTCCTTGGAGCGGATGGGCTTCAGTCTCGGGGCCAAGGCCACCGAGCAGTGGAATTCCTCCAGCTGGTTCTTATAGCACCGTGTCTTCTCCCTGAAGGCCTGCAGGCAGCGGGACATGTTGGCCTCGCTGGAGGTCCCCTCGCAGCTCAGGTACGGGATGAAGCCTGCGGGAGACGAGGGAATCACAGCCTTCAGCTAGGACGCAGAAGCTGCCCAAACGCCTCCGAATCTCAGCCCGTAACTTGGCATTTCTTTCTTGGCCCAGGGCGCTGCATTTTCCCAAAGGCCATTAATACAAGCAAGGCTGTTGTTTCCATGGTGGCTGGGCCCTCCCAAGGCCACAAAAAAACACACAAAACGGCCTTGGAGCTGGGGAGGGAAGGCCTGTCTCCACCAAGGCAATGACAGTAATATTCTTTGATAGCAAAGCCCCTGATGTCAGCCTGAGCGGTAAATGGGGAAAGCGTGTAATGGGTCAAAATGACAGTCTGAGGAGTAATTGAAATTATGCGTCTTTTTAGAGAGAAAGCTTATTTTCCTTGATGCTTCCCAAATGCAATTTGGGATCTTTCTTGTCGGACCATCAGGAAATTGCGGGCTTATTGAAAGCACAGGCCTATTATACAAAAAGGTAAATTCATTATCTGCAAGACCCACCCCTAGGACAATTTTTCACCATTTCCCACAAAAATAACAGATAATCATTACAATTAGAATGGGTAAAACACAACTATTTATTTAAACTGGATGCTGAAATCCTAAGTACTGTAATATTGTCACAATGAAACCACTTTTTTAAAAAGAACAAGTGCGGGAAAACTGGTTAAGAACTTGGTTTTAAACTGCAAAATAAATAAATTACCTCTCATGACTAAAGCCCATTTTTTTTGCCTTTGTCCCCAGGTCAGGAAAACTTGGCTGCCGAGCGGGAAGCAGTAACCCCTGTCCCTGGCCACCTCCAAGAAGAATCTAATTACTAGACTGATCTTGAAGTCTTCCACCCACCACCCAGTCTCCCTAACACTTGGTGAATTAATACCTACCCTGATGTCAGGGGGGAGACTGGGAAAAGCCAGGGACCCTGCCACAGTGTTTCTCTTCCATCAGGGCCTATTTTGATCAGCTTAGATTTTATATAATCTTACAGATACACACACAGGAATGCAAGCTGCTTTAATGAGTCTTGCTAAAGGCCAAGACATTTTAAATAGGTTGTGTATGCTGACCTCTTTCATCCTCACAACAATCTTATACTGTACAAAATAATGGATTTTATTTTACCCCATGTTGGTTGAACTGTGTCCTCCAAATACATTTATACAAGTTCTAATCCCTGGTACCTGTGAATGTGACCTTATCTGGAAATAGGGTCTTTGTTGATGTCATTAAGGATCTGGAAATAAGACCATCCTGGCCTTAGGGTGGGCCCTAAGTCCAATGCCTGGCGTCCTTATAAAAAGAAAGGAAGGAGAGATTTCAGACACACAGACACAAGCATAGGGCCTAAGGCCCCATGAAGAGTTGGGTGAAGAGTTGTGTGGAGACTGCAATGATGCTACCACAAGCCAAGGAATGCCAGGGCCACCAGAACCTGGAAGGGGCCAGGAAGGACCCTCCCCTAAAGCCTTCAAAGGGAGCATGGCCCTACCGACACCTTGACTTCAGATTTCTAGCCTCCAGAACTGTGAGATAACAAATACCTGTTGTTTTAAACAATAGCCCTAGGAAACTAATACGCCCATTTTATAGAAATTTTTATTAACCATAGAGAGGTAGGTAATTTACAATCACACAATGGCCAGGCAGAATCTGGCACCTCAGTTTGTTAGAACCCAAAGCCTGTTCTCTTAGTCAACCAGTAGGACCCAGGTGAGGCTGGGCAACCTTGGAATATGCCCCCTGCATCTCCTCTCCTAAGAACACTTGTGTGTGAGAGCTGAGGGCCCATGGGGATCACTGGATTTGTCACTGAGATGTGACTTAGTAAGTTCTCAGTAGCTCAGACACCTTTAGGAAGGGTGACCAATTGTCCAGGTGCCAAGGACGAAGGCATTTCCTGGAAAACTGAACTTTCAGTGCTAAAACTAGGACCATTCTGGGCAAACGAGGGCAGTTGGTCACCCTCCCTATAGGGACACAAGAAGGAATGGGACCATAAGCAGAGTTCTGCTGTAAAACTTGAGAAAGCCCAACTTGGAGAGAAAGACAGGGCCTTAGCACTGTGTCTAGTCTGCTCCAAATACATCTGACGGACATTAATTCAGCGCTTCCTGCACACCGGTCATGTCCTGGGAGATTTGGCCTAAGTTGTGTCTCTTCATTTATCAGAACCCAGTTATCAGCCATCTTCAGCAACAGGGTGCTCTTGACAAGTATCTTAAAAGCTAAAGCACCTATACTGGCCGGGTCCACCAGACAGCCATGGGCAGCGGGCCAGAGCAGGGACAGTAACCAGGGCTGTGGCTCTCGTGCCAGGCGCATCTCCGCAGGGCATGTGGGCACCACTTACCACTGTAGCCAGGTGTAACTGGCAGCTGTCTCATGAAGGTCTTGGAAGCCTCCATGGTCTGGTCCTCTGCTGATAAAGGGAAGAGGGGATGAAATTCTCACCACGGGCCCTGCTTCAGGAGCTCACATCAAGGGAGCTGGAGCCCGAGCGAGGAGAGTGAGCTTTCCAGGGGGCTGGGATGGAGAGGCAGCTCCATCTGACAGCCGTGAGCTGTACGCACACCGGGCGGCCCGCTGAGATGGAGTCAGGGATGGAACCCAGGAGCTCCGTGGAAGGTTCAAGAACCTTGGGGGAGGGGAAAGCTGAAGCACCCTCACCTGGAGCCTTCCCCATCCAGCCGGAATCAGGTCTCCACGGTGATTTTTGCTTCCCTCCTCCCCCCAGGACATCTGGCAGTGTCTGAAGACATTTGGGGTTGTCGCAACTGGGGGATGGGGCGCTACTGGTATCTCCTGAGTAGAGGCCAAGGATGTTTCTCAGCATCCTTCACATCACAGGATGTCCCACAAGGAATCAGAGCACGTCCTGGCTGAAGGGATCAGAAATCCCAACAGGCTGGCCCACGTGGAGTCCAAGGTGGGTGGGCAGAGGGTGGTGGGCACTGTTAGCATCAGCTTCTGTGGGCACTGTCTGCACAGCCAGACCCCTTCCCTCTTCAGGGAGGGCCTGGGGTCCCCTCCCCCAGATGGGTCAGGTCCAGCAGCTCGCAGGGTGGGGCTCCCAGGTCCTACCCACCAAGGCCAAGCCCAAGCCCAAGCCCACCTACCTCTGCAAAGCGATGCCCTCCCGCCTGGACAAATGGCCCCAGGGGGCGAGTGGAGGCCACAGCCCTGTTTAGCGGGGAGGGCTGGGATTTTGAAAACAAGGAGGCACCTGTGGACTGCTAGCTGGGGGACACAGCTGGGCGCTGCCCGCAGTCCTGTTAAATCCTCAGGCCACGCCAGGGGTTAGCTCCCAGAGAGGGGTTGTCGCGTGCAGGGAGGTCTGGACGGACGCCTCTAAGCTCGGAGGGGCAGGACTCTGCTGCCCAAAAGCAAGCCGCCCGGCAGGGGGCAGCGC